TAACGGGGGGATATTGTAACACCAGCAAAATTAGGTCAAAAATAAATTTGTTCAGTAACCATAATTGAGTATACTAAGTGGTAGATATCGTAACTAGGTTTCCAAAAATATAAAGAACACTAAAATTCGAGTTATAACGAAGAAGTTATGATTGATCGAAGATACGCGACAATATCGGTAAAACACTGTTAAGCATAAAACGAGAAATTTCAATAAAATACTTTTCAACCTTAGGTGTTTAAATGAAAGTCGTAGATATCCCAAAACCGTGAACATACATAAAAAGAACGCCCAAATCTGACTTCATATGAGGAAGTTATGATTTTTCGAAGTTTCGGACATAGCAGTAGACAGCTAAAAACTCGAAATCGAGATCGAGCGACTTTTTTCCAACATGACCTAAATGAGAATCGAAGATCTCATCAATGGTATTACAACGGTAAAAAGTCTGACGAAAACGGACATCGGACGAAGAAATTATGGATTTCTAACAGAGTTTTCCTGTCCCGGCCTACTAAAAATAATATATTAATAATATATTAAAAATACAGTCAAAATTAGTCAACAGAGTCTAAACGAGAGTTCTGAAGTTCGGGCGCGAAACCCCAAAACTGTCAGTGTTCACGACATGAAAACAGTGTTCACGACGTGAACTGACTTCTGACGCCTTCTGGAGCCTGACAGACGCAAGTTGCGATGACGCACCTGATGACGACTGAACTCACGACGTGAATATTTGAGATTCACGACGTGAACCCATAAAATTCACCCTATAAATAAGGATTGAGGGCAGCGGCTTTGGTTGTTCATTTCCATCCTTTCTCCTACTTCTACTTTGTGTTAAGCCTCCCGAGACCACCCCGAAGCCCTGATAGCACCTCTAACACACGACGCAAGTCACGAAGTCCCGAAGATCCCGAGAAACTTGCTTCTTTTCAGTCGAAGTACTGCCCGAGTTGAGTCTCGTCTTCTTCAACTCACCACTTCTATCAGGTGAGTTCATACCCCTACAACCACACTATAAATGCTTTTTAAATGCTTTTGAAACACTTTTAAGGGGGGGGGGGGGAATACAAGTAAACACACGGTTAAAATCGTGTGAAACACCAATCTTTTACTATACTTTTCGTACTGTTATTTTAACTATCATATGAAGTTGTTATCATGCAAAACACCTCACAACACAACTTTACCCTCTTGGGATATAATATGTTTTATTTATACGTTTGCATACTACATCATATCAAGGGTAACCATTTTCAACTAGAACATGATGCTTTTACAAGAAAACTCAACTCATCATTACGCCTTTGTAACACGGTAGAAAAGGAAATCATTTCATACAAACGATTTTTCATCATATTACTCGTGAACTTGTTGTTAGCAATCATGTGATGTCATATGGCTTTGTTTGTACCAAACGAAAGTCCCCACCTATAACCAGAGTCTCTTGGAGGGAGAGCGTGACAAGTGTGTATAGATCTATACGGGGCTGACGACTCCGCACCCTGACTGTTAGCTACAGTCGCCGGGATGACAAATGTCAACATTAGGTACTGCGTCTAGTATGGTTATGAGGAACTCACAACACGCGGAAACAATGACTCATGCACGTAGTAATACATAACTCAATCATGCTCGGGGGGGTAATAACTATATTATAGGGTATTATCAGCATGTTCAGAATTCACGATAAACACTTCCACAACTAGTTTTACTTAATAATAAAACTATACATCTTCATTTCTAAGCATGGCATATTTGCTTACAGGTTACAGTCTTGGTCATTTAAGACTGCATCTCATTTAGGAAAATATAGGATTTTCCTGGTTCAAACATTCACTTTATACATCTTCATTTCTAAGCATGGCATATTTGCTTACAGGTTACAGTCTTGGTCATTTAAGACTGCACCTCATTTAGGAAAATATAGGATTTTCCTGGTTCAAACATTCACTTTATACTACAATGATTCACAACCCACCTTATTAAGAAAATATCGGATTTTCTGGAAAACATACACGAACTTTCGAATGGCATACATTCTATCAAAACACTACTTATGAACTCACCTACTTAAATGTTGACACTTTTTCTTTGAAATAACTTGTATTCTCAGGAAATCGCTAAACCAGGTTAGCAACTGCTTTTGAAGACTTACGCTCAGGCGTTAGTTTAATCTTTTGGATATCATATTCTAATTGACTTTTGCAAACATGTAATACTACAATCATGTAAACTTTTCAATTATGTATATGATGGTCTTGTGTACTTTCTTTACTATTCATTTGTTATGATACTGAACATGACGTCCTCCGCCCCCGAACGTTTCCGCCGTTCAGGTTTGGGGGTGTGACAATAAGGATATTGAGAGAAATGAGTAAAAGACTAATTGGACTTAGTCAGAGCACCTATGTGGAAAAAGTGTTGAAAAGGTTCAACATGTATAATTCCAAGAAAGGTGACTTAGCGATCCAGCATAACGCCAGACTGAGGCTCAGTGTCCGAGTACAGAGGCTGAGATATCTGAGATGAGTCGATTACCATATGCTTCCGCTGTTGGCTCGATCATGTATGCTATGACTTGTACCCGCCCTAATGTGGCCTTTGCTTTGAGCATGGTCAGCAGATATCAGGGGAATCCTGGCAAGGCTCACTGGACTGCGGTGAAGAACATTCTCAAGTCCCTACGAAGGACTAAGGACTGGGTCCTTACCCTTGGTGAGAGTGATGACTTGAGAGTAGTGGGGTATAGTGACGCTAGCTTTCAGACTGATAGGGATAATTTCTGCTCTCAGTCGGGCGGGGTCTTTACCATGAATGGAGGAGCAATTACGTGGAAAAGTTCCAAGCAGGAGACGGTAGCTGATTCGACATGTGAATCAGAGTACATAGCAGCGAGTGAAGCGGAGAAGGAGGCAATATGGCTGAGGAACTTCATCGGAGACCTTGGAGTTGTACCAGCTATAAAGGAGCCTATGGAGATTTTCTGTGACAGCAATAGTGTGGTTGCCTTAGCCAAGGAACCGAGAGATCATGACAGATCCAAACACATTGACAGAAAATATCACTTCATAAGACATAAGATAGAAGAAGGACTTCTCGTGGCAAAGAGGGTATCGTCAGAAGAGAACCCAGCAGATCCCCTCACGAAGGGACTGACTAGGGTTAGGCATTTGCAGCATGCGAGGCGCATCCGGCTGAAGGACGATATTAGTTTTACAGATTAGATAGCTATTTCTGAAACTTGTAAAATGTAATTGACATTTGATGACTAAATAAAAGTTGTTGTTTATTTATAAGTAAGGTGTTGCTATCTTGTGTCAATTGTTTACTATTGTTTCAATTTTGCATGTTTTGACTTCCAGAATAATTACTTTATTCAAACTCTCCATAGTCAGTCATATTTTGGAAGTAGGTATGAATCAAGACTGTCATGAATTGGGCTTGTAGATGTCTAAGGTGTTAGACATAGCAAAAGTTGCTACAACATTCATGAGTGCTCATAAGTTCTGAGTATTGGATTAAACCCACGCTAACTTGTATCACTTCATGGAATTTATCTCGAGTGATCGTGAGACGGTAATATCATATAAGTCTTCAAACCTAGAGATATGAGTTGTTGCCTATGAGTTGGTTATGCATTGATTGTACAAAAACGCATCAGTAACTTGATGTCATAAAACGTGCCTTTGTGTATGATTCAACAAGTAGTAGAACAAGCATATGAGTCGAAGTTTATCTGTTCCTTTTAGTCTGTGGAGGATTAAAAGCGATATTTGGGCCCCTCGATGATTTTGTTTTGACCTATGTATCGGGCCCGGTCAGAACCAAATTGATGTGTTCAGTTTAGTTCTATGTCAAACAAATCGGAAATCGAGAAACAATCTGTTGGACAATAAGTATGACATTGTTCCATGTATTTTTCCGGCTGGTATCTAGAACAGAGGATTATATGATCACTTATCTAAAATGGCACTTCATAGTTCAACGGAGTTTTAAGAGCTACGATTGTTGATCGGTTCCTGAAGTCATACTTGCAACTATAGTTATCAGACTTATCCAAGTGGGAGACTGTTGGATAAGGTGTCTAAGTCCGTAACTATATTTGATATGTACTTGACCCGACCTGGCATGGTCCATTTGGGTTGCACTTCACCAAAACAATTTGTATGGATAATCTTTTAAGAATAGTATAGTTATGATTTATTAATATATTATTAGTTATAATATATTAATATGAAATCATATTATTTAATTAGTATTGATCAAGAATTAATTTAGAATTAATTTACTGATCAAAAGGAACTAATTAATATGGACTCTTATATATATATATATTATATATATATATATATATATATATATATATATATACACATATATAATGGGCCAAGTTCATTTAGGTTGGGCTAAGCTTGCATGGATAGTACATGGAGTTTTTAACCCATGGATCCTATAGAAATGAAAGGTCATGGGTATTTGGGTTTACATGAATGTAACCCTAATCCTTTATAATATATAAAGAGGTCTTTGCCACATGAAATGGCACTAGTGTGTGAGTACAAAGGGTGGGCCGATTTCTACTAAGTGCATTCTATTCTCTCAAGTCTTCCAAGGTGTTTTGGTGATTTGTGATTCCACTTGAGGCATCCACATTATTGGTGCTAGGCTCTCAAGACTCCAAGCAATCAACCACAAGAAAAGGTATGTTATTCTACTAAGGTTTTTATATTACAAGTACCCCATAACATGCTAGTTAGGTTGAGAACCTTGGAAAATCAAATTTGCATGTATAATAGAGAAAACATAGATCCAAGGTTTCTAGGGTTGCATGTACACCATAGGAGTGTTAGAATGCTCAAAACCCATCAGTTAGCAGCTATCATTAGGGTTTTCGAATTTCCCGCCCGTTTGTGCCTATATAGTTCTTGCCTGTTCGATTTTCCTTGTTATTGCTCTTTGTCTTGTTTTTCTCTACGTTTATTCTTCTTTCTATTATGGACTCTTCGATCAGCATTACCCTAACCCCTGGTCAGTTTTCTACTCTTCAAGAAAGATACGGCTTTCATCCAGAAGATGGTGTCACTTTTGTCGGTGAACACGCTAGCTTTATCAATCCTCCCGAGGGTAAATTCGGTACATATACGAAACACTTTGACGCCGGGTATCGTCTTCCGACATCAGATTTCTTTCGAGAAGTTCTCCATACGCACAAGGTTCACATCAATCAGTTTTTACCCAATGGTATAAACAAATTAGTTGCTTTTGAGATGCTTTATCGTGCCAACGGGATTAAACCTGATATTTGGGTCTTTCGCCATTTTTTCGTTTCGATGTTCCTTCCTCTGGTGAGAGTTATACGTTCGTTGTTCGTAAGCATAGTCAGGTTCTAGTGACCGGGCAGAAGAATTCGCCAAAGAACTGGGCAAATCGTTATTATTGGTTTAATGTTGATCGCGTAGGGTTCATGGAGCGGTGTTCGACTTCTATCTCTAACCAGTCCTTTACCCTTTATTCAGACAAAGAGCAAATGGCTAGGGTTCTTCGTTTTTTTATGTTGTGGCTGATGACTTCCCGGAGTATGTGCTTGTTAGGGCTGAGATGAGTACATCATGGAGGCTTCGCGGAAAATTGTCGGCGTTTTATGTTATGTTGAGAGGTTTCTCTTGATTATTTTTCTCATGTTCCATTTTTTTCCTTCGTTCCCTCCCCCTCCCCCCCCCCCCCCCCCCCCCCACCTATATATATATATATATATATATATATATATATATATATATATATATATATATATATTCTTTGTATGCAGGTGTCAAGAAGAGGGTTGATTTCATGGACGTGCTAGCTAAAAAGTGGTTGGGGAGTCTCCGATATCGAGAGGTGGATCTCATTGATAGGGTGTTACCTTCTTTCCCTTTCCGTAATGAGGCTTTTATTGCCCGAGCATCTTGCATTCAAGACGATGAGCGGTGTCGTGCCGCTGTAGAGCCCTCACAACATGCTTCAGTTGATCTTGTTAGTGCTAATGTTGGTGTTGAGTCTTCAAGGAACAAGTCTCTGGAGGAAGAGGTTGTGGAGGATAAAAAAGGGGTTCTTCCTTTGGTGAACAAGCGTAAAGCAGCTTGGAAAAGTGTGAGTGGTCAGGATGTTGAGGTTCTAGCACTCGTATGACATTTGCGTCCACGAAAATTAGCTAGAGGAATCTCTCGTGTTGCCAGTGTTCAAAATGAGGTAATTGATATTCCTGACGACGAAAATGTGGAGAAAGTTGTTTCTGAGAGAATGTTGTTAGGTCTTAGTTGGATGTTGTGTTAGAAACTTCAGAGGGTTTAGGAGTTGGGAGTGAACAAGGTAGTATAAAGGAGGGGTTTTGTCTTTTGTGCTTTAGGCGTGTTGAGTCTATATCTATTGGTGCTAGTGAAATAGGGGGCTCCATTGGTGCGACGCTTTCTCCTTTTTGGTCTCTAAAGGACGATTCTTGTCTTTCCTTGTTTGAATCCGCAGTTGATTTTTCCAAGAATGCGTTTCTGCATGGCACTCAATCTGAAATGGCTAATTACTCCCTATTTGATCTTGTTAGGTCGTTTTGTTTTGCTTCAGCTCAAAGTCCGAGTTTTGTTGCTGAAGGGGCTAACTGTCTTCAGTGATTCTTGGTTTTTGATCGTGATCTTACCCATATGATGAAGGAAATGTAAGTGCTTCATTCTGATAATGCAGTGTTATAGAAGAAGGTTTCTAAGTTTGAGGGGGATGCCTTGCAGCTTAGTGTCGTTCTTGTGGAAAAAAAGGTGTTGTAGGAGAGCGTGATGGGTCTTGAACGTGATAAACTTGCTTTGGATGTTACAATTGGCCAGTTGAAACAGGAAATTGAAGGTTTGAGCATCCGTTTGGAGAGCCTTGAGAGGGATTTGGCGGAAAAAAAGATCGAGTTGTGGAAGAGAAGTTTGTGTTCTTGGGAGTTTTGAAACGTGACATTCAGTGGGTTATGAAGGAAGGGTTGGCTAGAGTGGTTCATCATGTCTTGGAAAGTCTTGAGTTTGGTTATGGTGTAAACAATTTTCGTGATGCATGTATCGCTTTTGGCAAAGCTTTGGGGATGCAGGAGGCGAAGGAGTTGGTTGGTGGTGGCAGTAGGTTGGAAGATGTGTCGTGGGATGTTGTTGACCATGAGGGGGCGGGAGGGGGGTTGATGAAGCATTGGATATTTTTGCGTCACTGTATTATATGTATGTGCTTGATTTGGAGAGATTGGATGTGGAGAAGCTAAAGAAGATGGTGCAAGCTCCTGGTGGTGCCTGTCCCTCTTAATATTCTTATCTTTGTTATGCTTTTACTTTGGTTACGACGTTGGGTTTTAGGTTGGTTTAGCCATCTTGACATGTTTTTTCTTGTTATTTTGGAAATGCTGCTTGGTTTACGGATTTTACTCTTAGACTGCATGAATCCTCATTGATTTCCGTTTTGTCATTTGTTCCACCTAGCTCTTTGTTTGATAAGTTGATAAGACGAGCTGTTGATTGCATGGAATACTAGGTCTTGGCAGACCTTTGGGGGTTCTCATGCTAGTTAAGTCGATAATTTTCTTTTTTCTTGTCCTAAAATGGGTCTGAATTATGTTTTTGATTCAATTTGTCAGTTTGGAACACTGAGTCAAGGCATTTGTTCTCAAGACTCAAGGTAGGTCAAAGCCAGGGTATTTTAGAACTGTTTGTTTTTATAGAAAGTAGGTTGAGGCATCTGGCCTCCATACTTAAGGCAGATCAAAACCAGGGGCTTTGGAACCGTTTTCCGTCATAGAAAGTAGGTCGGTGCATTTGGCCTCCAGACTTAAGGCAGGTCAAAGCCAGGGGCTTTGAAACTGTTTTCCATTATAGAAAATAGGTCGAGGCATTTGGCCTCCAGACTTAAGGCAGTTCAAAGCTAGGGGATTTGGAACCGTTTGGCGTTATAGAAAGTAGGTCAAGGTATTTGGCCTCCAGACTTAAGGCACTTCAAAGCCAAGGGCTTTTGGACTGTTTTATGTTACAGAAAGTAGGTCGAGACATTTGGCCTCTAGACTTAAGGCAGGTCAAAGCCAAGGTATTTGGAATCGTTTGTCGCTTATTTGTCACATGTGAATTTATAAGTATGCACTTTAGTAGTATGAAATTCATCTTTGATATCATATCGAGAGGAAAGGGTGATCATCCATTCCTTTCTTACATGCTTTTGAATGGAAAACATCATAATAAATGAAAGGAAAAAGAGGAGGGGGTCTTGTGCCCTCATGTTTGTTGCATGTTTCTCAGTAGTGAAAACATCTCAGGTTTTGGACATTCTAAGTCCTTGGAATGAGTCTTCTTTGCTTCCATAACTTTGTAGGGGCCTTCCCAGGTTGGTCCTAGCTTGTCCCTTGGTTTGTCGTGGCTGGCTTCATTTTTCCTCAACACCAGGTCGCCTATTTTGAATGCTCTCTCTTTTACTCTTTTGTTGTAGTACGTTTCAACATTTTCTTTGTACACTGCTTGGTGGAGTGTTGCCATGTAGCGTTTCTCTTCTATTAGATCGAGGTTGATTCAAATATCTTCAACGTTCTTGTCGGTATTTAAAGATAGTACACAGGGGGTTTCTATGAGCAGTTCTTGTGGTAGAACTATTTATGTGTCGTATGCGAGGCTGAACGATGTCTCTCCCGTTCTGGCATGGGGAGTGGTCCTATATGACCATAACACCGTGGGGACTTCGTCTACCCATTTACCATTTTTCTTGCCCAAAATTTTCTTGATTCTAGCTACTATGGTCCTGTTGGATACCTTTGTCTGTCCATTAGCTTGAGGATGAGCCACGACAGTGAATCGTTGTTGTATGTTATGTTCTTCGCACCATTTCTAGAGAGGGTTTGCAGCGAAATTTAGACCGTTGTCGCTGACAAGTGTCCTTGGGTTCCAAATCGTGTGAGAATATTCTGCCACATTAATTTGATCATGCTACGTCCGTTTATTGTTTCCACCGGTTCTTCCTCTATCCACTTTGTGAAGTAGTCAATGGTTATAACCAGAAACTTGACTTTCCTAGGGGATTTTGGGAAAGGTCCCACAATATCTATTCCCCATTTGTGTAAAGGCCATGGACTAGACATGCTAGTTAGTGGAGCTGCCGGTAAGTTTTGTATTGGTGCAAACGTCTGGAATTTTTTACATCGTCTCGTGATCTCGACTGCATCCTTGTAAATCTCTGGCCAGTAGATTCTGAGGCGGAAAATCTTTCCGGCTAGTGCTCTGGCCCCTTCATGTGCGCCCGCTTCTCCTGGATGTCTTTCTTGTAGTATGGACTTTCCTTCTTGTTGTATTGCACATTTTAGCCATGGTGCAAGGTAGCTTTTTATGTATAACGTTGTTTTTTGAATGGTATATTGGGGTGATTTGATTTTTTATCTTGTTTGCTTCTACTCCGTCGTCTGGGGGGATGTCATTCAGCAAGTGGTCGAAGTATGGTGTCATCCAATTTGGTTGGTCCGCTCTCATTACGACGACTTCTTGGCTATCGATACTTCTTGCTGGGAGGATCTCGACGAGTACCTTCTTCGTCAGATGGTCAAATGATGTTGATGCCAACTTACTTAGCGCATATTCCTACTTGTTTTCAGATCGAGTTACCTGTTTAAGGGTGAAATGCTTGAAGGTTTCAGCTAGATGTTATACTACTTTACATATTTTTTCATTCTTCCATCTTGCACTTCATAGAATCCGTTGATTTGATTTATTTCCAGCATGGAGTCACTTAGCACTTCCACTGCATCTGCCCCCATTTCTTTTTCTAAGCGCATTCCTACTAACAAGGCTTCATATTCTGCCTCATTATTTGGATGTCTGGAAATCGAAACGTAATGCATACATGACTTCTTTGCCCATTGGGATTTTTAATACCAATCCCGCTCATGTTCCTTCCTTGATGGAGGCCCCGTCGGTATGTAGGGTCCAATATGTTGCTTCTTCTTTCAAAGGGTGTGTTTGTGCAACTTCCACGTCACTTGTTTGTTGTGCCTTATCTGCTGTAATTTCCACTAAGAAATCCACTAGGTCATGTGCCTTAATGCTTGACCTTGGTCTATACTCGATATTGTGTTCACCGAGTTCGATTGCCCACTTGTCCAGTCGGCTGGAATTATCTGGTTTTGGATAAGATTTGGCAGATGGGCTGAGTAGTGAGGACTTCGATGTGATGTGCTTGGAAGTGTCTATGTAACCTTCTAGCCGCATGAATTAGAGATAGGACCAAACTCTCCAATATTTAATAATTTAGTTCCGGTCCTAGTAGGGCCCTGGTGACAAAGTAGATTGGCAATTGTTTCCTATCTTTTTCTATTGCGAGGACTGCACTGATGGCCTCCTGGGAAGTGGTTGGTCATATGGATAGTGTTTCGCCTATCCATCATTAGGAGCTTCCGGAGGGTTGTCTTTAGCTGATCTAATGATTGCTTTACTTTTTCTGTCCATCTGAAATTACTTTTATCTACACATCCTTTTAGGTTTTGGAATAATGGTATGGTCTTCTCGGATCACTTCGAGATGAAGCGTCCAAGTGTCGTTATCTTTCCATTCAACCCCTGTATATCTTTTAAATTTTTGGGGGGATTGGTTTCTAGAAGGTCTTTAATCTTACTTGGGTTGGGTTGTATTCCTTCCTGGTGACGTAGTAGCCCAGGAGTTTTCCTTCTTCTGTCACGAATGTGCATTTCACGGGGTTTAGCTTCATTTGTGCTTTCTCTAACGTTTTAAGAGTTTCATCAACATCTCGCAACAAAGTCGTGTCGTTCGTGCTTTTTATGACCATGTCGTCGACATATACCTTAACGTTTCATCCAATTTGGTTTTGGAAAATCTTATCGACCAATCATTGGTAGGTGGCTCCGGCGTTCTTGAGTCCGAAGTGCATTTTTTGATAGCAGAAAGTGCCATGATTAGTGTAGAATGTTTTTTTCTCTTCGTATTCATTTCGTATCCATATCTGGTGGTATCCTTTGTATGTGTCCAGAAAGCATTTCCATTTGAAACCCTCTAGTGAATCTACTTTCTGATCTATCTCGGGGAGCTGGTAGCAATCTTTTGGGCAAGCTTTGTTGAGATCCGTGTAGTCTATGCACATTCTCCAGTTGTCGTTGTGTTTTTGAACCATGACTGGGTTGGCTATCC